GTACTGCTAATAGCTCATTCAGAATACTTTATGATTTGTCAAAACGTAATCAAATATAGGCAAGAAATTAATATCAGTTATGCTTCCTGTTTATATTTCCCATAGCAAAATGGAAAAAAACTTAGAGTGCAATGCTCTATCAAATAGAAGTAAGACAAGGAATAATAATATGAGTGACAAACTGTATTTTTTTTTTTCTTCCATCAACACTTTAATCCAGAGATCAAGGTCTTGATCCACCCTGTCTGGGTACATTTCACAGAACTTAGTAGTCCACTGTGCATTAAGCCTTTATGGTTTATGCACAGGCTATGTACAGTAAGTCACAAAGGATGATATATTTCTCACCACCTCATGTTTGCCAGGTGGTTTTCACTTTACAGCTGAGGCATACTGCTGACTCAGGAGTCTCTGGCCATTAGGGCCCTTTTAAATATTATGTGCCATTTAGTTTTATTGGGCTTGCTTCATTACTCATATAAAGAATGAAGCACCGGGCTCCCACTGTGGAACAATTTCAGTTTTGCAGAGATACCTGTTCTCTAATTCGCTAATTTGTGTATCTGCAGGCTGAAAGTTTTAGCGTTTCAACCGACAGTCAGAGATGGGTGCTTGAATTGGCCGCTCACACTCGAGCACTAAAGAAATCAGCTTGAGTCGTGACTAAAGACGTGTCTTTATTGAATTCAGTCTTGCTTTGTGCTTGATGATGTCTTTGACTGAAGCAAAGCTCAGATTTTTACATTCAAGATTGAGCTTTATTGTCATTATACAATACAGGATTGCACGTTGAAATGCAGTTATAGCCCTCTCCTCACAACACACACACAAAATCAAAGTATGTAAAAGTAGCAATAAAGGAAGGGGAAAAAAATTAAATATTTATAAGAAAGATATAGAGTTATGTGTGTGTAGGTGCAGCAGGATTATTATCAATTTTGTGATATTAGTGGGATTAGCTGCTTTTGCTCTTGGCTGTGTTTTTGTTTGTCCCCTTAATTTCCCATTGGTCAGCTATGTGGTGACTGAACTGATGCAAAGTGATCTCCATAAGATCATCGTATCGCCACAACCTCTGAGCTCAGACCACGCCAAAGTCTTTCTTTATCAGATCCTACGAGGTAGGTTCTTTTCCTGTTGTTATATTTATTCAGTCTGTTACATGTACATAAGATGTTCTCTAATAAACAGCACTAGGGATAAAATGTGCATATATGTGTTCAGTAGAAGTGGAGTATTCCAGATACATGGAGAACAATGTAAAAATGAATGGTTGTGAGCAGTGTGTGCACCTGCTATATGCTGTAGATTCCACTATTTAACTTTTAAATTAAGAGATCTGGCTACTGTCATCTACGCTACTGTCCTGTACAACATTAATTCAAACAAGTTTCATGGCTCAAATAACAGTGACCCCCATGTTGTTATGCCTTTCAAATCAAATTAAAGGCCTACTAGGACCACAAGGGATTAAGTCCTTTGAGCCACTGGAAGGCTTTTAATGTGAAACATCTGTGAAGGAAGTGTTGTGTATTGTTGATGGTAGTTTAACAGCAATCAAAGAAATGCTCCTGTCTGTAAATGATTAGTAAATAGAAAGAGAGACTGAGATGTGAGTTTTCACATTTTTCCTGTTGATTGAAAACTTTTATTTCAGAATGTAGGGTATAAGTAACTGATTATTTATCATTTGTGTTAAGCAAAAAATCATGCATCACGACCCCATGCTGAAAATAACTAATAAAAAAAAAAATATTCGGACGCCTGGTTAGATGAGTTGGTAGAGCTGGCAACCCATATACGCAGTGGCCCGGGTTCAAGTCCGACCTGT